AATATTTAAGAACTAAGCTATAAGTTGTATAAAGACTCAAAATTTTATATTTTAAAATAAACACCATTATATAATTATGTTAAAAATTAAGAAAAAAATATGTTGAAAAACTAATTCTAGTTAATTCTTTCAAATAATCTTTAAATTTGTATTTTTTTCCATTCTCTTTTTTTAAAAAAGAAATTAATGTCATCTTTAATAAAAATCTCATGTATATTTTTTAAAATATTTATGTATCTAATTAATTTAAATATATATATATATATATATATATATATATATATATATATATATATATAAATACTTTGATACTATGCTTTTAAAACATATTTATTAGATTAAGAAAAATAGGAGTAAAAGATTGACAAAATATATAACTAAAAACATATACAAATATTTAGAAAAGATTTCAATATTAAACTATACAATAATGTAAAGACAAAAAAAAAATTCCAAATGGGTATTGCAATTTGCTTAAATATTCTATCTTTATAAGTTTTATGAAAGAATTATAAACTTACATAAAGGTTTTTAAATACAAAAAAAAAATATAGGAAAGAAATAAAAATAATTTAACCTATGAAAAGGCTTCAAAATATATATATATATATATATATATATATATATAGATATGATTTAGAGGTTGAATCATATAAATTATTCTTATTTTTAATTTTGATAGCTAATTCTAAATTATAAAAATATTTATTAATTTAAAAGACACTACTTCTAAAAATTATTTTTAAACTTAGTAAATAATTATTTGAAGCTAAAATAAGAAAATTTTTGGAAGCTTATATCTTCTATCAAATTGAGGAATCCACATTTGGATTCCTCATATAGCTAAGCCACTATATAATTTCTTAAGAAAAGATAATAAGTTCAAATATGATCAAAAGCAAGAGCTAGTCATGGAAGGTTTGAAAGAGATTTTGAGGTCACTACGAATCTTAAGGAAAATTGACTATAATTGTAGCAAACTAGTTGTTATTATTTTCAATACAAGCTCAATTGCTACTAATGTGGCTATTGATCAAGATGATGCAAAAGGAAGAAGGTTTGCCATCAAATTGAAGAAAGCTATCTTACAAATAGATATTGAGTATATCCACAAGTAAAGAGGAAGCTTTTGGAAGTACTTATAATTACAAAGGTAGACAAAAATTACTTAATTAGAGCCAATGTGGTATTAGAAACTAATTACTTATCATTATTAGATAAGATTGCTAATTATTCTACTCATGATATTGCCATATTAAAATGGATAGCCTATATTAGAATACTCAATTCTATATTGGTTTATATTTTTGGCAAGAAGGATACTTTAGCAAATATGATATCTAAAATTAAATATATTTATGAAGATAGGATGGAAACACAAGAGATTAGTGAAGACAATGAAATTAAAGACTATTCCAATGTGTTAGCTTTTAATAGAATAAGCATAAGTAGTGAAGATCATTATTTTAGAGAAGATCTTTATAGAAGCAAGTTGAGAGGTATTGGCATCTATTTGAATATGATGACGAGATAAGAAGACCGGTTATAAAAGGCTTTCAAAGACATTAGACACTAGTCTTATTGTTATATTTTGAAAGGTAGTTTCTTATGAAAGAAGTTAAAGATGAAGCATGGATTACTATTGAAAGTAGTAGATGATATAGAGACTAAAAACTAAGTTCTTAAAGAATTTCATGATACATTTTAGACTTGCTACAAAGAAATTTAAACCACCTACAATAAGATCAAGGAGCAATATTGATAGAAGGATATATATATATATATATATATATATATATAAGATGTGAAAGATTTGATATCTTCTTACATTGAATACCAATTGCAATCCAAAGTCAAATATAGAAATGAATTGCATCTTATTTATCTACTTGCTATGCATTTCTAATGAGCGATTGACTTAGTACCATTGGAATTATAGAATAAGAAGTATCTTGTTTTAATAAGAAGAAGAGCTCTCAAATTATATCAAAGGTAGAGCTTTGAGGATTGAACCACAAATAGAGTGTGAAAATTCATCTTGAAAGATATCTTTAATAGATATGATAGCATTAGAAGGATGGAGGCTGATCAAAGAAAATTAGATGCAATAGAGGCTAGAATTTTTTTTCAAAAATATGCTATGAAGTTGAAGTTGACAAGTACTTATAATCCTAAAGCTAATGACAAAAGTAAAAGAGGACATCCTTCTATTATAAATGCTCTTGTCAAGACTTGCAAAAATAAGCCAAAATAATAGCCAAGACTTCTACCATTTGCTATATAGAAAAATAGAACCATTCATAGTATTATTACTAGTTATATGTCTATTGAGTTGATGTTGAACCAAAAGTCAATTATGCCAATAGAAGATTTTGTGCCTACTTGGATGTTGCTAGATTGAGAGGATGGCATCACAATAGAGAGATTATTGGAGCTTTCAATCCAAGAGCTTGAAATTTTGCTTGAAGAAGGTTTAGTCCATACATGGTAGTAATACTACATGATAATGTCACATATTATTTTTGTGAGTTGAATAGCACAAGGCTAAAGATACATGTGGCTAGAAAATAGATAAAAGCATTGAAGAGGAAAAATAAAAAATTTAGTCCAAATGATCTTATAAATTTTGAAAATTTAAATTTAGATTAGGTAATAGATGTGGAAAATTTTGACAAAAATAGAAAAAATAAAGATATTTAGGTTGGTACATGCCAAAGGATGTACAGGTTTGGAAGAAGTGGATGTTGTGTTGAGAAGTGGTATAATATGTAAATATAATATAAAATATTATGAAAATTTGGTTTAGAATATAAAAATAAATAAAAATAATAATAAATAAAAATAATAAATTATAGATATAAGTCAAGATAAGTTGGTATGAACTTGAAATAGAATATTCTGGTGTTGAAGTAAAGAAATATGGACTAAGGTAGTATGACATAAGTGATGACTTTTAGACTACTCTCTCTTTTTCCTTCTTCACTTGGGCTTTTTTTCCTTACGAATAATCAATCATTCTTTAGGATTTCTTTTGGAGGTTTTCTTAGAATGTATTTTGATTTTGGATTTGAGATTTTGAGGAGTTTTTCTTCTCTTTATAAGATTTTCAAAAAGCTTTCACTTGCTCTCAAAGAAGTTATTATCAACTAGCAATGTTTTTTTGGATAAAAAAAGAACTAACTACTCTTTAGGATTTTTCTTCAAAGGTTTTTTCAAAGTATATTTCGAATTTGGATTTGAAATTTTGAAGAGTTGTTCTTCGCTTTATAAGCTTTTCAAAAAGCTCTCACTTATTCTAAGAGGAATTAATATGAAGCTGCAGTGCCTTTTGTTTTATAAAGAGGAGTCATCTTCCTTATGTTAACACTATCTATGGCTTTGTTTGCTCATAAAGTATGTTTTAGAGAATTTTAGGAAGTGGGATTTGGTATATATATGTAGAGATTAAGTAGCACTCCAAAAAGCCTTCACATACTAAAATCTAATGAAGTATGGGACTATGGCATATATTTGAGTAAAGGGGTATTAGCTCCCAAATACTATCAAGAGCTACTATATATATATAAGGTAGTGGAGTTCATTTGAATGAAAGGCAATGTTTGACCATATTTAGTTGTAGCCAAAAACCTTATGTTTTCGTGAAGCAAACACTCTCACCTCAAGATCGCTCGATTGTAGAAGGCTTGACTTGTGCAAAAAAATGTTGCCTCAAAATGTGCATGGCACGTGATTTGGACCCCAAATTAATCTAAATTGGAAATAAGGTTATATCTTATCAAGCTCAAGGATAGATTTGCAATTATTACAAAAGTGAGGGATATATTTGCTATTATCAAGAATATAGGAATATTCTTAATATTTTAACATATTTCAAGGATATATATGATATTTTCTCCAAAAATTATAACCTAATAGATGTTATTATTATAGCAAATCTATAAATTTATTAAAACATGAAATAAAATTATTTTTTTTTAAAAAAAAGATAATAATTAATTTATTAATTTGAAGGATGTCTAATTGCTTTAAGTATGAAAGTAGAATTCTAACCTTTTTATCCAACATGAGTTAATAAGGCCTTAGAATAGACATTGATTAGCTTTAAACTAATAAAGAATCTTTAGAAAGAATTTGTTTCTTATTAGACTACAAAGGTGTTGTAATTACTTATTATAGAGACATATATCTTTAATTATAGCTCAAACTTATTAAAATCATATTGTATTTTTAAAAAACATAATTTTAATATATTAAGTAATATATCAATTATATCATTTAATAAGAATTAGTCTTTTTTTGATTTCACACCTACATAATTTCTTTACATACTTACATAACAATAAATCACTAATTAATACATCAATATTTAATATTCAATAAATAAACAGATATTGAATTAACAAGAAATATTTCCATTATCATCTAAAGAAAAATAAAAAATAATGGTTTTTAAGTGAAATTAAGGAGCTTTTGTTGCTAAGCTTAACAATTTACCATCAAACGGAATAATAGTATTAACCATTGCTCTTGCTAATGTACATATTTAAAAATTATTAGAGCACAATATCAAAAAAACATTTTATCACAGTTACATATTATGCAAACAAAATAGATAGATCTTCACTTGAATCTGAATTTTAACCAAATATCTTACTGAACTTTTTTGATCTTAAACTTTCATTTTATGTAGTAGATTGCAAAGCCATATTTGACAAGACGCCCAAATCATCAATATTAACTAGATAACATTTTTACAATTGAAGATAAAAATTTTAAAAAATATCCCAGAAATACAACACTTGTCAGCAGCCATTATAAAATGTTCGTTATCTGTTTGAAGTTACTATCGAAACAAAATAGAAAAACGGTCATATCTTAATTACAAAGCAAATCTCTGTTGCACACTTTATGCAATAAAAATATCAAAAATCGCCTATTTTAGTGAGTAGTGATAAACATAAGTTCAACGTAATGGAGAATTGCAACTCACGGCTTCACTGTGAAGGAAAAATGAGGCTGACTAAGCAACCAATTTGCATTTACTTTTATAATCTTGCATACATATTATTTTAAGTAAAACATAAATAGATTCATCGTCCCAAGCCCAAATTTACAGTTCTCAGTTTTTAGGCAAAAAATACATTCCAGCGTCTATCATGTCTAATTCTAAATCTCATGATCCTGGCTACATCAATTGGTACTGCCATGTTCCGAGAGACAGATATTAACGAAGCCCTTGTAGGGCAGCTTGATGCTTGGGAAAATCAAACTCTTAATTCAAAGCTGCCATGTCAATTCTCTAAGCCTCAGACCAAATAGATGAGAGCTAGCACCGCTGACCATGAAATCGCTCATGCCTCCAAGTTGCTTTACACAACTGGAACAGAAGTGCATGTATTGTGAGGGATGGTATTCACGAGAAAGATGGAGCTGAAGAGCGGAGCGCACCTGTCATCTCTTAGGTACACCCAGATGAGAGTGAACCACGACGTGCTGTCACTCAAACACCATCTCAGGGAGATAAATCCAAAGAAGCTCGAAATAAACCCCTTGGCGCATCATAAAACCATCTACAATAAGAGGAGAACAGTCGCATTTTTTGACAGCCTCGAATCCTCTAATTGCTAGCCATTTAATTTTTAAATAGCCGCAGCATTCACCCTGCAGTTGAGCAAACAATGGGTTTGAATCGTCAGCACTTACTGGCATAAAAATAGAGGTAGATAAGACTCCTCTACTGTGATCTTTGAACGTCGCTCCACTTCCTCCTGGAATTGCAAAGGCGGCAGGACCAGACAAGGACCCTGAATGGATCCCACTAGATTGTTGTCACAATGGTTGGATTCATATACCTGCAAAAGCACCATGAACGTTTTAGCAAGTCACATCCGCGCAAGAGAAGTTGCAAAACTCTAGAGTATAAAACCTAATCTGAACAACAAGAAAGAGTAATAAGCATTTGATCACATCCCCATTCTACTTCGACGCCATACAGAGATTCCTGGACCCCAGAAACTTTATTCCTAAACAATTAACCTTCCACAAAGGCCGCATGAATAAATCATTCACACTAGAGTAACCGAAAACCAATCCAACATTCTGCACCTAAATTCTAGGCACTACTCCACTCCGCCTCAGAATTCGTTATCTAATTTCAAGAAGAATGAGAAATAACCTCTCTTGGGTCGCTAATCACTGGCCGGCACATGTTAACTGGAAGATCTGAAGGATAATAGCACCAATTTACTCTCACCCACTTCTGACCTGAGCCTTGATCCTCCCATAAAGCCTACAGCAATGCCACAACCACGAACAGTAAGCTCGAACCATCGAACTAGATTAGTTACAGACCATGATCTGCATAAGCAGCTCTATTGATAAATTACCCCGATGTGCTGAACTTTGAGATTTAGGAATAACTGCTCCAGCAAAATGCAACACCTTGAGCATATAGACATTAGATTAATGCAACTAGTACCAAACAGACAAACAACAGAAATCTGCAATATGCTCTTATGTTTCAAATGCAAAATCTCAATGTGCTTACCATGTTCGTGAAAAGCACCCAACAGTACCTGGATCCTAGCAATATAAGGCGCTACATCCAGAGATTTTGATCGGAAGAAGGCAGTGTCCTGCACACGTATAGTTACACCTCCTACAGAGCACACCGAGGAGTGAAGTCTATCGTGACTTGCACTCACCACCGGGCCAAGCCACTCCACCAGAATCATGCTGTCATATGCTGCCCCAATCTGTGCATGTTTTCCAGGATCAATTTCCCGTCCGCGTTCTTCGACAGAACAAGCTGATGTTTTCTTGCTGATAATTTGAGCTCTACCTCTAGCATTCCGTGAATGTTTCCGGAAATACTCGTCCTTGTTCGTAACTACACCCATGAGGCACTCGGTATCGAATCTCTTTCCTGAAGTTTCAGGAATGCTGAGATCCTGAAATGCAGATGTTGGTATCTTCACCGCTGCATTGGGCTCAACTGAATCCTGATCTGAATCGACCTCCTTACTTCGGGATTCCAACAGAAGTTTTCCAGAAGTTTGACTCTTGGATGAGTCGCTTCCGCGGCCATGCTACATTCACAATTTGAGGAGCGCAGAAAGGAGGTCGTTGGCAAACTCACTGCAAATGAAAGTGCAGACCTTGGTAGGTGATTCTCCAAAAGCGAAATACAATGGTTGTAAGGCATATCTATCCACTTGAATATATTTTTTCCGTCAAGCGTATGCTTGATCAATGTACTCTATGAGGCCAGGGTTTGTTTTCCCACCTCTCTTGTTATCCCAGTAGAGTATCCTAAATCCATCAACCATACAAGTCAGGTAGGCCACACTATCCTTCCTCCTCAATAAAAGAGGTATAGATCATAGTCGGGCGTTATACTTAGGATATAATCCTTCAGACTCCCAACTCAAAAAGGTGAGGTTTCCAACGTGAATAAAAACTACCTACTCGGTACATCGAAACGGCTCTCAAAAAAGCTCAACAGGATTGTTGAGTATCTGCGTTGCCAACATGCTTATGCACCAACGCTCCAGCTAGTCACTGAGGTTCACATTACTACAATAGATTCGAAAAGCAACTCCTGACTAACTGAATTTCCATTATGAAGCTCGTTCTACTCTAGACCCTATCAACAGTAAAAGCTTTACAAACCAGCAAGGTATCGTTACCCAGCCATGATAATTCTCACGAGGGTGGAGCTTTTTTCACTGGTAGTACCTGCATAGTCCATGAATTCTTAGGCCCAGACTGTCCGGCAGGTCCACGGCGCAGGGGCCCATACTTGGGAGGCTGTGGCCGACCACAGTTTGTCGTCACACATTTCGGGCAATACCAGTCACTCTTTGGAATGCTCGCATTGAACCTCATTTGTAAGCAAGATAAATGAGAGCCAGCGTCACATCCGTCACAAATCAGAACATCATTTGTCGAATCCATCATCAGCTTACATATGCCACACGGAATTGGGGTACTCATATAACCTCCAAGTGGTTGCGTAAAGGCTGGAATTACAACCGTGGGCTTCAAGAGAATTTGCACTCCCAAGGCTATTTGCTGGTGTGCTTGCTGTGGATCCAACACAGTCTGCTGCTCATTGAACATATTTTTCAAACCCCTTTGCCTCGCTAGGGCCTTCGGTGCCTGATTCCCTCTTTGGTCTTTCATGACCACAGTGGTTGTGGGTTGAGTTTCTACAATAGAATTCAATTGCAGATTCACTGGACTAGTGGAACCTCCAGTTTTCGATATCTTTGAAACAGCAATTGGAGTGATTGATATTGCCGCTGAAGACACGACCAAAATAATTAATCTTTGTGAACATTTAGTGTCTACTGCCAAGAGTAGACAATAATATCTTTAAGCCAGTATGCCCATAATAAAAATGAGCAATACGAAAAATCGGAAAGACTCACCAGATGTGTTAATATTGGCCCCTGGTGCGGTTGATGGCGTGTCAGATGGAGACTCGCTAACAAGCAATGAGGGTGACGTTTGCACTTGTTCCAACAATTTTACTTTGCCAGTTGCTGATGCTACAGCTTTAGATATTTCTTTCGGTACAGTTTTCGGTGCTGGAGCGGCTGCTTTTGGTGCTGAAGAAGCTGTCTTTGATGCTACAGAAGCGGTTTTTGAGGCTGAAGGAGCTTCTTTTGATGCCGAAGCAGCTGTTTTAGATTCTGGGGCAGCTTCTTTTGATACAGAAGCCAATGCAGTTGCTGACGCTGGTATTGTTTCAGAAGCTGGAGCAGATGCGACTAGAGGTGCTGGTAGTGCGGATACTTTGGAATTTGAAGATAATGATCCTGAAGCAGTGGATGGCAATGGGGAAGATGACTGCGATGATGAATGTGTAATTGCTAATGCCGGAACTTGAGCTGCTGGTGCTGGAGATGGCGCTGATGAGGAACGCTGTGTTGGTGGTGCTACTGCTGCTACCGTAGACGGTGGTGATTGCTGTGCATCATAGACACAAAAGCAATCAAAATACAATAAAGGTCTTATAAAAAATGAAACTTTCATTTGATGTCCAAAAATATATTCCACAGCAACTGGCTTAATCCTTCACCACCAGACCATTCATAAGCCTCCAGTACATTATCCTCCTCTTGTTAAAAACAAATAAAAGGAAATAACGCTCAACCTCCTGCAACAAGACTGTGCAAGTGATAAGACGAGATCTTACAATGATGACAGGCTTGGCAGCTGGCCGAGCAGGAGGAGACGGCGGCACAGTCAACTGCTGCATCAAGGATTGCAAAGCGTCCTTCGACACCAAATCCTGCGGAGTAGAGACTGCTACAAGAGCTCCTAATTTCTCGTACGCCTCTGCAGCCAACTGACATTCCAGAGGGCTAGGTTGAGCCCCACCTCGAAGAGCAGCTACCCCGACCAAGACCATCACTATCTCCGCTGTCTGCCTTAACACCATCTCCACTTCCCCGTGAACTCTCTTCAGCTTCTTAGATGAAGGCTCATGGCCATCCTCGGTTCTTGCTACTACCACTTTGTGAACTGCTTGATGGCCTTTTCCAACTTCCATGTCCATTGCCGTTTGGAAGTTTGGATTTGCAGGGTCCTCAGCCACGGACTCAGGTATAATCACAGGTGTTGGAACAGGTGCTGGCACAGCCATGTCTACTACTGTTTCCTTCTAAGGATCATGGAAAGAACACCAAAACCTAGTCTTCGGGGTCTCAGATGTCCACTTGTTACACAGTTATGCCAGAAGTTTTCCCTCGATGAAAACCAGCAATAGGGTCCAAGAAGATTTTCCAAAGTCCATTACCAATCCAATGTCACAAACAGAAGCCTATTTGGATCCGATGTTGCCAGCTAAAGTGATTAAAGACTTGAAACCACAATGTCTCAGAAATTTACGAGGGACTCGACTAAGTTGCAAACACGAATTACTTCTTTTTTTTAAGTTAAACTATTTTTTAATCGAAATTCATCTCAAAAATAAGAAAATAAAAGAAAAGAACAACTCAACTACAACGCAACCCCCGCAATCTGTTTTCCCCTTCTTCCCCTTCTTCCCCTCCACTCCACATCGTTGAAAGTTTCAATTGTGCTGCTACGACTACAGCGAAAAAAACCCAATTGCTGCACATATACAACACCACCCGCACCCACACTCAACAATCCGGAGCCATCACCTGCACTCGCAAGACAAACCCCTCCCACACACTTCTACATTGCCAATGTATACGCTCTCTACCAAACCTCCCACTCTTCTCAATCGCACAGACTCCGAAAGATAAAAAGGCTAAAAAAGTAAAAAAGAAAAACTAAACAAAGGAAGCAATCAAATAAAAGTTAAACAATATGGGTCGCGCTATAAACTCACTGCACAGCCCCAACCCTCATTCAAATCAGCACCCCCACTACTACAGGATTGGGTTGGTGCACTGTGGGGAAGAAAGAGGCTGGGAGCCCCTTCCGAGGCACACACGCATCGCCCAAGTCATGGGACATGCAGGGACCAGTGGAGCTCTCGCAACCCACTAAGCGACGATGCGAGATGGTGCAATGGAGCTGGTGCGATCGATTCATGCGCATGGAAATCCCAAAAACCCTAGCGACCTTGATTTGATGCTGTTGTTGCTACTGCTCTCATGAAACCCTAACTTCCCTTCCGCCCAGACTCAGTCTCCCACACTTCCTCCATTTTTGTTGCCATGTTTGGTGCAGTTTGGTTACCAGATGCCCACTTTCTTATTTCTATATATTTTCAATGCTGGGTGGAAAACAAATAAAAATACACAACGTCATGAATTTTCGTAAGTTATGTTGATGTGCAGTAAGGAATGCAGAATAATTGATGCTGAGAGTACACAAGCTTGTGCAATTGTGTTGTTGATGAATTGAAAAGTGTTCCAACAACTCGTATTTGTTGTGGACATAGACACTGCCTTATGTTGTGAACGTTGTGATTAGCGATTATTTTTATTTGTGGCTGTGGCATTGTTTTTAATGTTGTGTGTTGTGCATTAGAGTTTGATTACATGAAACCTGTATTGACTAAATTTTTTTATTCTATTTTGGATCTTTGTAATTTGAATATTTGAAGAGTTGTTTGATATTAGTTTGATTTAAACATGTGGTATTTATTAATATTACACAAAATGAAATGAATTCTTTTTTAGCTTTTCTTTTCATGTCAGATTCAATATTCTTAACGTTTCAGTATAACCGTTAATATTTTTATTTTATTTTTATTTTTTATTATGAACCTAATTGACTCCTTCAAGCATGTTAATTTTCATTCTGTACTTTTAATTGAGTTACAAAAAGAAATTAATAAGTTGATTTGTTTATTTAAATTTTTATAATATCAGCATTACATCTTTTGTTATTTCACTACGTTAAATATATCGTTAAATAAATTTTATGTGACTTTTACAAGTAACAAGAGGCATTGAACAATTAATAATGAGTAGCTTTTTATGTATTTATTTGTTTATTGTTACATCTTTACTTATCACTACATTATTTTGGCATTAGATGCATCTGTTTTGTTTTGGAGGTAATATGTTAAAGCAAGTTATTATTGTACAATACTTCGTAATACAATAATTAATCACAATGTGAACAATTATAACCAAAAATCATACAAAATGTTTCATTTATACCTCTCAACAAATAAACAAAATACACACATACAAATTTAAATAAATAAGCATACAAAAAGTAGATATAGACGTAAATATATCATACTTAATTTGAAGTACCCATCAAAATAAAGTATGAAATGCGTTTTGATAAATCCAACAGTTCTGGTTTGTGGTGTATTTTCGAATTTCGTGTGTATAAAAATTGGAATTTAAACAGTTTATATAATAATATCCCAAAAAGCCATAATTAGTTATCTTTGCCTTTATATTATTAGTTTTACCATTACGAATATTGTAATATTGTGAATTGTTTCATAATCTTATATTAATACATATATACACACATTTTTAACAAGCTTCCAACATATTATGAGAAAAATGAAGCAAAAACCATGAATTTTTTAATTGTAAACAAATAGTCTTCTAAAACGATTTCAAATTCATTTTGCAAAATTGAAATTAGTACTGATCAACACTTAACTAAACATGAATATCAGATCACTATATATACATTGATAATTTATTTTATTTTATTTTTTCTGTTAATAAACACAAACACCAAATCATGCTTCAGACACACAATGCCACATCTGCATGAAGTAACGATTATTACATATACAGAGACAGCTGCCATAAATTCGCAACCACTGCATTTACTTAACCGAATCCAGCATCCACTTTATCAACTTCCTGCAGCGCTTGACAAACACAACATTCAACTTAAGATCAAGTTTCTACGGCAATTGGCAAACAGAACATTCAACTACTAAAAGAGTCAGCAAAGGTAAGAACTTGGTTCGAGGATGAACTGAAGAGAACAACCAAGCTAACGAAGCCCAAAACAAACATAAGACGAACAAGTTAACAGACGTCGTACTCTCGTGCACAACATACCAAAGAGATAATGCAATGAAATGAGAAGTCAAGGATTGCTAACCAAACTGCAGTGAATCAATGGGAGTTGGTTTTCAATTCAGCCAAATGGGTTGGAGACAAGGAATCCAATCAGAAGTAGATTTGCAACCATGAAGGACCATGTTGGGGGGCACCCAGTGAGGAACTTATTCCGCTTCCTCGCATTTCGATTGAATGCTAGTCTCTCCTGATCTGACGCAAAGCTTTGGGGCGGTCGCTGCAAACCCTTGGCAAGGATCTTCGGCGGAGGCGAATGCCAGGGCATTTTGTTCTCCCAAGAAGTTTGAGGCAAGCCCCAATTCTCAAATCTTTTCACGACCTGCACTACACTGGCAACAAATTCCTGCACGTCTTTCATGTCTAACAGAGCTCCATCCACATCTGAAGCCGGTGGTTCGACGCTCCAAGTATATGTGATTGTCGGCTGCTCCATTCCAGCTGAAGACGGAGCCCCACGTGAATCATCCAGCTCTAAACTAATAGTCGACGGTTGATTCGCTCCAGTTGGTTCCCTCATCTCTAAAACCGTGGTGGATTGTTCCGCCATTTCACCTGAAGACAAATCGCTCACCTCGAATCTGATGCTGCTTGATGGCTCCGTTCCAGCTGAAGTCCAAGCTTGCCTTGTTTCGCTTCTCTCTGCGCCTGGAGTAGATGGTGGCTGCATTCCAGCTGAAGATAAAGTTGAACCTCGACGTGGTTCGTTCACTTCTAAAATAGAATGCCCCACTGTCCCAATGTCAAATGGTCTAGTTCCTGACTTAGCATCATGTGCTGGAAGAGAAGACTCATTTGAGGAATAGGAATGCTCAGACCACACGTGCGTCGTCTCTGTGGAACTATCAGCATCTGCTCTGTGCTGCTGAACAGCTCCATGGAAAGAATGATTAGAGCTTTGGATGGGAATGGTCGAAATCTCCTTTGTTATTGCCAATTTCTTTCTAACGATGCTCCGTACCTCATTGATGTCGACTAAAGGTCGTCGTGGAACATTGGCTTCAGATTTTGAGGAACTTGTCAGAGGCTGTGGTGTTAGCTTCTGCAAATTCTTCAATGCTAACCCTAATTGGACAAAAGGATTCTTGAGTTTTGTTGACTCTTCATCTGGTTGTGCCTTTGCGGGCTCGTCCTGTTTCCGTGAGAGAAATCTACCACGCCCCATTCTTGTGAAGCATACACAATTACAGATTTCGGCACAACCTGGAGGCAGCCACCCGCATAGAATTCAAAAATTTACCTGATGATATCAAACCAGAACATGCCAGGCATCACTCCCACGAGCCGTTTCCGGACTCCACACCCTACACTGGACATAAAAGAATTGATCAAACCAAGGCTTAACATCCACAACATGTTCAGAAATGCTACGTTACAGCACAAGGCGATCAAGAAACTTCCATCGACATTCTCAACTCCAAAACCTACCCTTGACATCTCATTGAGTAGCAACCAACAATAACAACACTCCGAATTGCCTACAAAAACATTTCCTATCCAACCTTCTCCGCGCAATCCACCCCAAATTCAACCCATCATTCCTTCGCCTCATCCAGAAGAGGATGCTGTGAATTCATCAGAATGAGCAGATCCAACGAAACAGAAAGACCCCAACAAAGTCCAACGAGTATACCAACAGCTCTTGTGTCGGCGCTATGCGTGGAATGTCGCATAACCTAAAATCTCCATTCGAAAGGCCAACATTCTTCAAACAAAAAACCCATCAAAACCAGCAAACCCGAAAAGCACCTCAAGAGTACCAAAGCTTTACAAACAACTTGGCTCTCCAGCAACTATCCCATCGAAGCTGGCTCCCTGCTGCAAACGCATTCTGACCTGAAACTGGATCAATTCGTGGGAAGGAAAGAGTCTTGATGAAGCTGTGTTAGATTTGAGCCACGCATCCGCCATAGCCATCCTCAGTTGCTTGGTGACTATGAATTCTGTCACTCACGGACGTAACACAACCCCAGAAACGAGCAAAAGCGGGTTTCTGTCTGTTGTCACGCTCAAAAAGTAAGTAAACAACAGGGTAATCTTGAACGAATGAGTTCTTTCAGAACAAAAAATTTAATGTTTTACAAACATTTTTCTTTCACTATTTGCCTCCAGTGTGTTGAATGAACTGTGATATTGTTAAGATATGCAAATTTGGCACTGTAGTATATTGTCGTGTTCGTAAAATATTGGAACGTGATTGTGTGATAGATAATGCTATGAATTTATGCATTGCTTGTAATGTCGGAGTGCATGGGGGCAGTTATGTACTGAGTAATGTGACACAGTTATAGTACTAAAAATCGACTCAGAATTTTTGCACTGTGCATGAATACTTCAGTCACACTGTTTTCGTAAATTAACAGTGTAGACCCCATTTCGCCACCAAGTACTTGTGCACGTATTCTTCACTGAATTTCCCATGTATGAGGGCATTCTTTAATTATGTTTTATTAACTATTGAGATTCACATGATCGAACAGCTTGTTTACAAACCTCAATTTTTTTAGATCGTTTTTATTAGATATTCATTATATTCTAATTCTGCATGGTTAGATGCTGCAGTAAACGATACTTATTATTCTCTTACAATATAAGTAATACAAAATAGGTATTTTCAAAATCTTAGAACAAACACATACGTTTAAAGAGATGTTGAAACTGATCAAACAATGTACTTTACAGTTACTCTCTTTATTGACTGAAATAATAAACACTCAAGGTTCCATAACTATCATTATCTATTTCTATCCATACATGTGTGTGAATGAATACACTTGAAGAAGCTTTCAACGATGCAATGTTAGACATCTTCAAGAAAAAGGAGAAGGTGATGAATAGTACAAGTTTCAACAAGAATACGAATGTGTTACTAGGCTACTAAGGTTCAGGGATAGCTGTTGGCCTAAGTGAATAACTAACCACCAGTGCTGGTACAATGTGGAAGAGTATTAAACTGCAAAAGTAGGTTCATTCTAAAAACTCAAAGTTCAACATGTTCATCACCTATCCGAAGAAATAAAATATGATATCCTATAATCATCAGATGATACTTCAGTCTCATCACCGGCAAAACTTCCGGCACACGAAGAAGATGTCAATCAAGGACTCCAAGTTCAACATATCAGCAGTGAACAATCGCAGTTAACAGGTGCAATCCCCAGAAGATTCAACTGATCAAGCTAAAGATGAAACACTGCTAAGAATATGAATCCTCTGCAACGCCCTCTTACGAAAGCTAAAAGCGAATCAGGGCTATCTAAACATCATCGCTTGTTACAATGTGTCCTAGAAAAAAAGAAAGATGTAGAGAAAATTCTCACATACCAACGCTGCCGCCCACAGTTCGCAAGAATATCGTGCAACACTCACCATGACTACATGTCGAAACAGTCAAATCGACTGCTCGATCTCTTCAGATGCAAGTGTCAACAGAAAAAACTTACGAGGCAAGAATTAGATCCACATACTTGTAAACCCGAGCAGATGCAAGTATGAGGGTTTCCTTTCCTCTGAAATTTACACAAGTGTTCCCCTAACTCAGGGTGCTCGTTACTAATCCGATGTATAAGATTACATCACCACTAATTCCCTTCTCAAAGAGGGAATTCAGAGAGGGATTTCACCACTATCAGCGATGGTTACCTTCTTTTTGGGCGTGCCACCAGAGGTGCCTTCAGCCTCCACCTTGTACACAACGTCCATTCCGCTCAAAACCTTTCCAAAGACTACATGCCTTCCGTCTAACCAGCTGGTCTTCACAGTGCAGATGAAAAACTGAGACCCATTGGTGTTAGGTCCCGCGTTGGCCATGGACAAGATCCCAGGGCCGGTGTGCTTAAGCTTGAAGCTCTCGTCCGCGAACTTCTCCCCGTAAATGGACTCTCCGCCACGGCCATTTCCGTGCGTGAAATCTCCCCCCTGGATCATGAAGCTGGGAATGATGCGGTGGAAGGCGCTACCCTTGAAATGCAGTGGCTTCCCACTCAGCCCCTTACCCTTCTCGCCCGTGCACAGCGCACGGAAGTTCTCGACCGTCTTGGGAGCCGCCTTGCCGAAAAGGCCCATCACAACTCGGCCAGCGGGTTGGCCACCGATCTCCACATCGAAGAATACCTTGTGCGTAACCTCGTCCAAACCCTTCTCGATTTTGGCCTGCGCGCACGAGATCGTGGCGAGCAGCACCAGAGCTGTCACGGCGAGCATGGGCCCTGTCCTGGCCATCGCGAAGGCAGAAAGTCTCCCGATCGCCACTCCTCAGCAAATCCCACGCATCAAAGTCTCTCTCTCGATATCGATCTCGCTTACTTGCTCTCGATCTCGATCTCTCAAGCTCACTCTCGCACACACACCCACACGGAACACCACAACAGCAGGAAAGCCCACCACTAGCGGAGGAGCGGAGACGGTGACGCTTATAGGGGGTCTATGCAGGTGCGTGCTGCTGCTGGTGGCCGTGGGAATACGGGTCCGGCTTAAGGGTCGCTCGGGATGAATCGATGACCGTGTGCACCGAGTTCTACCTTATTGTTGTTCCGTTTTATTATTCTTTTCTAACGCTACCACGCTTTCATTCCCCAACATTTGCCCTAAATACGCGATTTACACTTAAAAGCTTTAGATTTTATTTTTTTTCTCAATTATTGAACTATCAACAAGTTGCAACTTTGAAATGTTCTATATAGTTTTAAAATATTGTTAATGCCACAATAGTTTTTGCTATTGCCACTACTATCCACTAATTTGATATATTTCTTTAGTTTTTTTATTCCAATATTTTTTACAATATTTATAATATTTTTTAAATTATGATCTTTCAAATTATACATGAAATAATTTTTAATTTTTAATAAATAAATAAAAATAAGTATTTTTGGAAATCTATTAGTAAAATAAAAAACATATTATTATTTTAAAATTATACTATATATATATGGAAAAATATTTTTTAAATTATTCTTTATTATTTGGCATTAATAAAAGATATATGTGGCATAAGGTAGATGGTAGGTTGCAATGGCAATAGCAAAAATTATTGTAGAATGTGGTGAATGGAAGTTGTGGTGGCAATAACAAAAGGTGGTAGCAACATGTAATAGATAATTAGTTGTGGTAGCGATAACAAAAGGTGTAGGTGGCATGTGATAAATAGTTGGTTGTAGTGGTAATAACAAAAGGTATAGGTTGCATGTGATAGAGAACTGGTCATAGTGGCAATAGTGAAAATTGTAGTAGTATGTGGTAGAAGGCAAAATAAGGTGGTAATAGCAAGAATTGTAGTGACATTGGCAATATCTTAATTTCATAATATTGATATAATATAATAATATATATGATATATTCTAATATACAAAAAAATTATTTTAATAGATTAATATCATCTTTCAATTTTTTATAAATATTTTTATATTAATTTTGTGATTATATATATATTTATAAATAAAATATTTAGAAATTATAGCATATTAGTTTAAAACTTATAATTTTAAATACTTAATAATTAAATAAAATATCTTAAAATAAACTAAATTTATATATAATACAATAATCTTTTTATTAATATTTATATTTATTGAATATAAATATTTTTTATATTAGAAAAGAATAAAAATATAAGATTTAATATTTCTATATAAAAGATAGTATATAGCTACAAGCTAAATAATTATATTATAAAAGAATTGTTTTTTATTAAAAGACTTAAAATTATAAGAATCAATTAAATGAAATAGAAATTTATATATATATATATATATATATATATATATATATATATATATATGTGTGTGTGTGTGTTTAAATACTTTAGATGAGTTTTAAAATAGTTTATTTACTAATAAATCATAAAGTTTTCTTGATAAAGAAATTAAAAATTCTTATTTTTAATGATTGCTAAATTTCTTTGCAATGTGTTATATATTTATTTAAGATTTTTTGATTTCTATAAATGATTAAAAGTAACAAAAATAAGTTTTTTTAATAAAATATTTGATTTACAATATATATATATGTTAATATATATTTTATTATTAAAATATATAAAAAATAATTTAATAAATAATTTTAATCGAAAATTCTAATATTTTTGTTTAGAAAATATTTAGAAAATTATATTTTTATTTATAAATATTTTAGAAATTATATTATATTTTTATGTTATATTAAGTATAAATTTCTAAAATATTATATTTACAAAATATGTATAAATAAAAATACATATTTTAGAAAATATTTTATAAAATTTAAATAAATTTTTATTTTTTTTTATTTTGATAAATATATATATATATATATATATATATATATATATTATAATTGGTATTAACAGCTATAATTGTTAAAATTTCAAACATATACTTATTTTATTTTATTTAATATTAATTAATATTTATGTTATAATATTTTTAAACTCTAATTTTTTTCATATTAGATGTTTATATTAGATGTTTATTATATTTGATAATATAATTGCTATTGAATTTGTGATACATGTTTATAGAAAAATATTTATAAAAAGAGATTTTACAATCTAAAATTCAATATAATATATCTTGAAAAACTAAAATTTTATATCTTTTATTGTAATAAATTTTAAAGATTATTTAGTTATTTAAATTTTATATTACTTATCATATATATATATATATATATATATATATATATATATATAATTTTAGTATGTCAATTGAGTAAAAATATGTAAAATAATAAAAATATATTTGGTATACATCATTATCATTAGAAAAAATTAAAAAATATTTTTAGATGTAAATTAAGTGTATAGTTATGTTTAAATATATTATGTAATCAAAAAAAAAAAAAAAAAAAAAAAAAAAAAAATTGAAGTTGTGTAAATCAAAGAAGCTTTTACAAAAACATCCCATAATTCAATTATTTAGCTCCCATCTATATCTTACTTATTAATATTGCCTCTACAAATTGAATTCAATAAAGTTATATAACTATTTTTATTCCTAAAGTATTCTATGGTTACCAAACCAATTAATAATAAGGCTTAGAAGAAAGTATGTGATAGATATAATGATGATAAAAAACAATCTCTGAAGATGGATTCCAAATCTTAAAAGATGGATTATAATCTTAAAAGGTGATATATATATATATATATATATATATATATATACAATTCAATTGTCTTTTTTTCTTCTATTAAAGGTTGTTTTTCTTGTTGTTGGTTTCTTTTGGCTCTTCTCTCCTCCATTTATTACTTGCACCTAAATGACTAAATTAGACAATTATGTTTTGAAATATCTCAGTTTTTATATCATGATTGACTAGATTCTATTGATTGCATAGGTATGGTATTGAATTTAAATAGAAGAGATTATTATTAATTCTTAAAGACATTAAATTTTCTTCAATTAGTCTATTATATTGATAAACTTGTAAATGAAGTTCCTTAGATAGAAGTTTCTTTCAATGTTAGCTTGTTTATGAATTAAAAATCATTTAGTTTAGAATTATCACTAATCTTTAGTAATATTTTAAGTAAATAGTAATCTAAATCCTTGATACTATGGATTACCTAATTTAAGAGAAGCAATGTTTAATATTCACCCATTAAATTATTTTTGGTGGTACTAAAGAATTTTAAGTAATCTTATAATAATTGAAATTAGAGCATTGAGAAGATTTAATAATTTCTTAAATAATTAGGTTTTTTAAAATAATAAAATTATTATAGATATATAATTAAGATATTAATTTTTAAAAAATAATATAATAATATTTAAAATAAATAAATAAATAAATAAATTATAATTTATAAATTAATTTAAATACGTAAATAAAAAGTTGTATTAAATGATATTATTTTAATTTTAATTTTAATTCAATATTTCGTTTATATATATATATATATATATATATATATATATATATACATATATACATCAATTCATATAAATATTTTATTTTTAAAAAATTTTGGTTTTTTTGTTTTCTTTTAACTTTTATATGAATAATTGTCACAAATTTATTGTGATAAAACTATAAAATCTAAAATAATATACACAAATATATGAATTAATGTCACACTTATAACAAAATTATATTTTGTATGTTTATGCACACTTCTTGTGAAGAATATAACCAATACCATTAATTACCTAGATAAGAGGAGTTAGATAGAAATAAGCAAGAATATCTAAATTTAATAATATCTTATGTTGAAGTATTTTAGAAGCTTTATAGACACAAATTTGACTTTATATATGTCTATAGGTAATTAATAGGTTGAAAATTTGGTCAAGATAATGACCATGTATTGCACATATTGGCCACTTGTAGTATAAGTTAGCCATGTGGCATACACATAGGAAACTTGTTTTACAATTTAGATATATGACTCATAAGTTGGATACATGTTGGAGGTTCTATAGAACATTGCTATATAGCTCCTAATTAGATAGTATATATAGAAACAAACTTGAGGCCTTCTTTATTTTTATCAACCATTTTTTTTTCTTAATTTTATTCCAAGAATTTTTAATCTTCTTAATTTTAGCAATAGCTATTATATTTTTAATATTATACTATATTTAAGTGAATATCTATTCTTTTCTAGTAACATAAGAATGTATTAATTCTTTGATTATTTTCAATTTATATCCTTGATAATTTGGAAAGAATTATAATTTTTATTCTTATTTTATTTTATGAAAGAATTAATTACTCCACTTTTTTATTATATTTTAAAGGTTGTGGACAATCCACTTTTAAATTAATATTCTTATTTTTTTAATATTAATTATTTTTCTTAAAAATATAGACTATTCTTCTTTATAAAAAATTTCATTTAATATTAGAGGTTGCAAATTACTCTCTAGTAATTTGACTTATAGATTTATTAAAATTGTCTATTGTAGAGGTCAAAAGAAAATAAATTATAGATGCCATAATTAATAGATATAAAAATAGATTTTCAACTATCATAGATCTTTATAAACTTATGAAGATTCTTATGGTAGAAATTTCATGTATCACCAATATAAATCAAATAAGTACTATTCCTACATTTATAGAAGAAATCAATAATGAAGTTCAATATCAATACCAAGGAGTTGTGTAATTGAGAGAAATAATTAGATCAACTCTATAAGTATATCCAAATAGTCTTACTACTACAAGTATAAGAAAAACAAAGATTAATACATTAAAGAAGTTTGATGGAACAAGATCAAAATTTTGAAGATTTTTCCAATAAGTCAAGTTCTATCTGAATTTATATCTTTTTTTAATATCTTGATGGATTTATTCATAGTTGAATTTAAAAGTACTTTCTTTTAATATTTATCTTTGATAAAAAAATATTTAAAAATTTTATATGATTTAAATTTATTATTGTAAGTATTTATGATTATATTTGAAAAAAGTGATCAAGA